CTTAGATTATAAGCCCAAATCAAGCCTTCCTTCCCCACTGTTTTTGTTAGGTCCTCTGTCCGAGTGATGAGGAAAGTCACCAATAAACGGGTGAGGTGTCAGAGATCTTTCAGGAGCGCACATTCTCTGTGACCACATTAATTGCCCAAGTGCACCTCTGCTGACACTTTCCAGATGGCCTCAGGAACTGGATGACTCAGGCTCCGCCAGACTCAGCACTGCAGTAATGTTCCACCAAGCAAAGCTCTTTCAGAACTGCCTCTTGAAGAACAGCAATTAAGCTTGGCAATGTTCTCACTTATGAATTAAACTATCACCACTTGGTGCCAGAGTTTGTATAGTGTTTTCAACCCACACTCAGTTTCTGGTAGAGGTGAAAATATGACCTAATTAATAAAAAGATCTGTCACTGCTTCTGAGCATGCAGGAATGTCCCACCCAGAGGTGGCTACAGCTCCTGTTTGTGAGAGCATGCTGGTACGATTCCTATAGTCATGGAACTATGGACTGCACGGAGCTGAATGAGATCATCTACATCCATCACATCCCAGGCTGAGAGGTAGAAGTAGAAACAAGACTCAATGGGTTATACTACTGGAGGGCACCATGCTTCCTTAAAGATATTACAGTTAAAGCATCCCCACCCTTCAGGGTGGGCCTGGACTTGATGTGGAAGAGCCAGCATCCCAGGGTGCTCTGGGGCCTTCATCTAAATGGAAAGCCTTTCTCTACCTGATTCCACGGGCTCTCCCGCCAGACAGGTGCTTGAAGAATCCTCAAGATCGTAACCTGCCGCTCATCCACTGCTGTTTACACAGCTTACAGAAGCAAGGGGAACTGTCAGCCTTACGTGGATACAGCTAACTGTCAGTGAAGCAAAGTCAACTTCTGTCCTAGTTAAAGAAGAGACACGGGGGGGGCACTTTAGATGGCAATTCCTTTTGTGGCTGCTCTCCTGGAACAGCCAGACATCCTACAAATGTGCTCTGACAAGCGCCCCGTTTGCTTTCTCAGCTGCTCTAGTGAGTAATGCAGACTAGAAAGCTGGCAGGCTATAGCAAAGCAAGCTTGGTCCAGGTCTTCCCTCAAAAGATAAAGAGGAAGATAGTCTGCCTTGTGACAATGACAGAAGTCACCACAGTATCCAACTTCCACTTAGTCTCTCTGCACCGTGTGTATGTGTGTGTGTGTGTGTGTGTGTGTGTGTGTGTGTGTGTGTGTGTGTGTGTGTGTAGGGCAGGGTAGGTACTCTATAAACTTTCTTCCTCAAATTTCATGGCAACCCTGTGATGTCCCCACTTGTGTCCCCACTTTACAGATATGGAAACTAAAGCTGCAGAACTTGCAAGCAGTGGAGATGAGGTCTTAAAGTCAGTGGCCTAATTTCAGAAGCCAGGCTCTCCAGGGGGGATCTGTCACTCATACCAGCCATGCACATTGTATGAACAATATGGAAATGCAAAGCTGAGGTTCTGAGAGGTTTAGAAAGGTGTCTAAGCCTACCCAGTGAATGAAGATCCAAGGTGGGGCCCGAAGTGGGGTCTTTCAGTTCGGCATCATCCATTTGAGCTAAGGACCTAGAGCACCATGCCTAAAGGCATGGTTTTGGAGACCCCAAGCCTTGAGTGAATGACAGCTGTGTCATTTACTGCCTGTAGCATCCTGGAAAGTTGTCCCTTTGAGCTTTAGATCCCCATGAGAAAGAAATGCTGATTCCACAGAATCACTGGGAGGGCCCAGAAAGAAGAAGCATGTCCTGATGTGGCCCAATGCCAAGGCCACATTTGAGATATATATATTTTTTAAATCAAGATTGGAAAGCTACAACATAAGGGGAAAGACTGAGCTCCAAAGATTAAAAGTATTTTTTCAAGTGTCAGAATCCCTATGGTTGGGTGAGTCACTTCCTAATGTTAGCCACGTGACAGTAAGTGAGTCATTTTAGCTCTGTGGGACCCAGGGTCCTCATCTGCAAAGGATCCTAATCCAGTGGGGCTAGGAGATTTCAATAGAAAAGTACAAGTGAGGTGTCTGAGCTAGAAAGAGGCCTGTGGAAAACCCAGAACTAAGAGCAATTGATCTTGTGAATGACAGTGACCACTGGCATCCTTCCTAGTCTACATGTAGTTTTGTTTTACTGAAAATGCTCTAAGCATGATCAAAATGCTAAGAATAAGGCCTCGTTTGCATGACGGCACAGCATTAAAATACCACTCTTTCCACGTCGTTCTGAAGCAGATTTCTCTAGAAAAGGAAAGGTAAGGTAATCAATGGAGACCAGCAAGGATCTGAAAACAGGAAGAAGAGTCAAGTGGGGTGAGCACATCGCATGGCTGCCTGTCCGAATGGGAGTCCTTTGGAGTAGAAAAGACCTACATTTGCCCCTTTGCAGATATCACATGGCCGTGAGAAGGTCCTCCGTGGGGGGAGGGGGGTTCACCCTAGCCAAATAAAGCTTGCTGGGGGAAGTGAACGGAGAGAGCCCAAAGCAAGTTTCCATGGAGTGTTAACTCCAATTTCTCTATTTTCTCATGAAAATACCAGTAAATATGTCTGAAACTTAAAGGTCACTGGCTGCTCATTTTTCAGCACAGTTCCCAACTAAGAGGCTGAATGTCAAATAGATCTGTCAGGATCACCACCTTGATATGGCTGCCCTGGGCAGATATTAGCAGAAGCAACATTCTTTCCCGCCCTCTGCTTCTGTCTCCTCTCTGCTGGCTAGGTGATGCAAGTCTTATCTGGAATTTGATAGGCTGTAGAAAATAATTATAAATGAAAAGGTTATTCATAATTTTTAAATGAGTTAATTAGTAAACCCAGTCAGACTCACTCATTGCAGTAATTAATAATTGATTATACTTGAAATTAAACACAATTTTTCATCAAAAATCTAATTAAATATCTGTGCTTTTTGCCTGTTGATTAGATCAGTTGGTCTGCTGGAAAAGAGTCATTGTTAAGATATTTGTGCTTGGCTGAAACAATTAATTTGATTTTTAATAATTGATAGTTCCTTACAAGTTAGTCATTACAGCCTGCAATTATGGCCAAGCAAGATGCCCACATGCTCATTCTAGCCTTCATCAGTTGGAAGAGACCAGGTACCAAGGATAACATCTCCAGCCCTTGAAAAAAGGGGTGGCTGGTCCCCACATCTGTAGTGCATTCCCCTGCACTGTTTAACTCCAGCCTCACAGACATCCTTCTGGGAAATCAGTCTGAGGGGGAGCAGTTGCCATGTGGGAGAGCTGGTCTCTTGGACTGTCTGATACTGAGGCCATGCTCTTCCCAAGCCCTTGCTGAGTCTATCCAAATGACAAAGGGAATGCCTAGCTTGCCTCTATGGGGTCTTTCTTGGGTGTGATTGCTATAATCCAGCCTTACATTTATCACAAGTGTGTATTTACTCTTAGAGAGGATGTGTTATTTGTGGACTGACTACCTCTGATTGGAGTTGCAAATTCTCCTAAACTTATCTTACATCTACCTCCTTTCTCCCCATGCCCACATTGTCATGAAGCCATCAGTTTTTCCTGACTAGTTATTTGTAGCCACTTCCTAATGCTCTGCCATCAGTTCCTTCTTTATGTAATGAAAACCTAACTGGTCTACCATTGCTGATAGCTCTTCAATGGTTCTCTGATTGTCTACCCAATAATGTGCCCACCCTGTTTGCTCCAAGATGATCATGACAGACATCACTAATCAATCACAGAGATTCTTTTATGTTTCATCTGAATATAGCCTCAGGATCTTTCTCAATGTAGCTTTCCAGGCAGCAACAACAAATTATTAGTAGAAGACATATGAATTGTGCCCCATCTTGTTTCAGAGCTATGCATTCTCTAAGCCTATATTCATAAGGAAAAAACAGACCTGACATAGGGGAGATATTAGAATATTCTTGGGACTGTCACCTTCCTGACTGATTTTAAGAAACCGAGGACCCATTAGAGGAAATTTAACTTACAGTTTACAACAACATTTGAACTCCATCTGTGTTCCAAATATTTTTTCATTTCCAAAACAAGTGTTGGTTCATGTTCTATTATTTTTTTTGTGATGGCGTGGTAGTGCCTCTTAAGACAGGTTCACTTTGCACCCATGTTGACAGCCTGCTAGAGAGTTCTTCACAGGGGGAAGTACTCTGTCTTCCTTTGGCCTCTGCTGGTCAGTTATAATTCCACTTATTGGCATATACTGACAATCCCATTTGCTTCCAGAATTTTCTCTGAACTCCTTAACATGGGTTCAAGGCCTTCTTAGGCTAGCATCATCTACCTCCAACCTTGGAAAAGGCACCCAGAGCTAAGCCACTTTGGATTCCTTTCCTCAGAGGCTTATTATCATAGAGGTCTCAGACTCCTCACTGAGCCCACTTCTTTTTAGATTAATTGCTTTCCCAGGAGAAGATCAAAGAGGGGAATCACAAGTAGGAAACCAGATTTTGCTAGAAATGTGTCCAAAGAATGCCAAGGAGAAGCCATCTGCTGGAGCAGAGCCACAAGTCACAGAAACTGAGGACTTTCTTATGCACCCTTAGGTCAGGTAGGAACTCCCCCCCCACCCCAACCAGTGTGGCTCTGGACCTCTGCTCTTCCCTCAGCCAGCTCTCCACTCACTGGGGCCTGGTGCTTCTCCTGCAGGATTTCCTTGGGTTCTAACTGTACGTGAACAATCATGGCAGTTTCTGGCAGTTTCTACAATGCTACCATACCACCCTGCCTGAAACTCACCTGGAGCCTTCCTGATCATTTCCTTTCACCCTTAGGATCATCTCCCTGTCTGCTCTTCAGTTCAGCCTTCCTGACCCAAGCACAGAGGACAGAGTGCCCCTATGGCATGGGTCACAGACCACACCAATGTGAGACTTCTTGGTACGACCTGTGTCCTATGACTGTGATGCTGGTGCAGTGCCTTTGATGCCCCCAGGCGCTTTGGTTGGGCCCAATGGGAGCCATGGGGGGCTGGGGGGTGGGGAGGATGGACGTGCTTACCCACGAAGTATGCGAGCAGGATGACCAGTGTGGCTGAGATGACGATGGCACTCAGGGCTGCACACTTCCAGTTGCAGTACTTGGAGGGCTTCTTGAGGTTAAAGGCTGGTCGGGAGAAGGTGCTGCGGGGCAGGGGCCGGGGTGGGGGCGAGTACACGGTGCTAGATGTTAGAGGGTACCCCGGGGATGAGGTGCAGAAGAGCGGGGAGGTGCCTCCTGGCTTGAAGAGGAAGTGCCTGTGGATGGAGAGAGGCGGGAAGGTGTCAGGGTCTGCCAGATAACCAGGTACCCAGGCCAACCTGTAGGACAGAGGCGCGGAAGAAGGAGCATGCAGAGGAGCCTAGAGAAAGAGAGAGAGAAAGAATCATCACAGGGAAGATGACAGGGTCAGGAAAATCACAGACTGGACCACAGACAGGGCACAAGAAGACACGTTTCCACAGAGCACTAGTAGGACAGTGCTACCCACAGGAACACCCACCCAAGGCGGGCGCACGACTCACTCAACAAAGGTTGCCCTGAAGTCCTTTTCCTGGGAACAGTGGAGCTGGGGTGGGGGGTGGGGTCTGTTTTCTACAGTCATTACAATAGCTCAGGGAGTGTCTAAAGTCCTGCTTGTCTCCTGGAGGCTACTGGTATTTACTTTTTTTCCTGTTGTTCCAATACCTGCATTCCAGTATACCTTGGTAAGGTGCTGGAAGCCCTTCTTTTTAAATGAGGCTTTGCTGGGGTAGAAGCCAAGAAGTCACTACTAAGTTCTGCCCATGAGTGGATGGCTGGTAACAGTGTCCTCACAGCCTCAGGAGCCTGGCTGTTGCCTACAGAGCCCATGTGAAAGCTATGTGGAGGAAAGACTGGCAATTCCACACTGTAGCCCAGCTGCAGTCTTGAAGGCAGTGGAGTATAACCAAAGTACATTGTTGCGGCCAGAGGAGGTGTTGAAAAATCCTGCACAACGTGACCTGAACCATGGCCATGCAAATGGCCTTGGACTTAAGCAAATCTTGGGTGGACTTCGTGACTTGTACCACACAGCCTTGAAATCTTAGGACAAACCCACTCCTCCTAGGGTAGAAGACATTCAGACCACAGAGTGTACACTCAAAGCCAGAATACATAAGACACAGGGCCTGTGCTGTGTACAAATTGCTACATGAGATGATTTCCAGAATGGCGAAGGCAGCCGATGAGATGCTGAGGACTGCATATTAACAAGACGGCTGTTAATATGCTGGGGGTGGGGAGTAGGGAGTGGCAGGGTATTCCAAGGACAAACTTGCAAGTTGAACATGGACTTGGGGATGTACATGCAACATGGCATCCCTTCCCCCAGGCATTCCCAGGGAAAGGTCTCAGGGGTCTGCATGCAAGGGCAGGAGCGACCAGGAGAGCACACACAAAGGAGGAGCATGGGGGTGCCACCTACCCGTCACTGTAAGCCCCATCATGGCGGGAGGCGCTGAGAATGTCCATCTCAATGAGGTTGTCCTGCAATGTCCCTAGGAAGGGCTGCTTGCCTAGGTTTCTACGCACACATGGAGACATGAATGAGGCAATGAGTCATGCATCGATGAAGGGGGTAGTATAGAAACAAAGGAAGAGTGGCTGTCGGGTGCGGGCGGCTGTGCATGAGACCAGCGGGGACAAAGGCTCCAGGCAACAGGTCAGTGTGCAAAGCCACATGTGCAAAGGATCCACCTGGCACACAGCATCCAGAGGGAGCACTCGATACAAACCCGCAAGGCTGGAAGCTGTGTGCATCCAACTCCGGTTCTCAGCCAGGAGGACTGGAAGGTGCCCAGCAGCGGGCTGGGCACATTCTATCCATTTTCTCAAATTTTCAAAATAGATGCTATGCAAAGAAGTCAGGGTGATCCCACTTCTACAGATGAGGACACTGGGATATGGAGTTGTCGTGGGACTTGCCAAGGTCACCAGCAACAAGGTTCAAAAGCAAGAATTTGAACTTGTTTATCTGGATCCAAAGCCCAACGTTCTCTCCTTGACTCACTCCACATCTGCTAAAGCAGCATCTGGAAACACCCACTTGGCTTCTCTGAAGACACAAGAACACCAAGCACTTGTGGCCACTGTCTTCTAAAGAAGGAGAACATTCTGGAAAGCCGTACCCTGCTCGGGTCTAGCAGAGCCCCAGGGACTCAATTGGTGCCCTGAGATAGGGCCAAAGAATCTGTATTTTTCTTAAGTCCCTGTGGATGAGGACCTGGTTGGAGTCTCACCATCCTTCAGCTTGTGTGAGAACTGGGTGGTAACTGATTAGTAAGCAAGACAGTCCCCTGAAGACATAGGGCGGGATCTTTACCCATGAGGGCAGGGTAATGCTTATGCATTCACCTGACTGTGCCCCGGGATGAAGACAGCCATCTGGGTCTCAACTGCTAGGTGATGCCATTGCCCCTCAAGTGCTCTGGATCCCACTTCCAGCTGGTTTCAGGACTGCTGCCGCCTCACGGTAGGACATACCAGAGGGAGGAGGGACGGCAGCAAGCCAGTTCTGGGCTCCAGTACCGCCAAGGAACCCTTCTACCTCTTACTGGGCTGTAGAATGGACCACTCCGGCACAAGGACTTCCTGGTGGAGTCTGGGTAAAAATCTTAACTTCTTTTAATCATCCTTGCTGCACCCTGGTGATTATAACACTAAGATGCATAGGTTGTGATGGGGTCCGCTGAGATGATGCTAACTGGGACGGTTGCCTTATCCTGTAGCCCCACACATGGGCTGCTGCTCTAGGAGCTCTGGGATTGACTTACATTTGTTCTACACCCCTATTCCTATGGAGCCAGCTCTGTCACCTCCCCTTTCAGGCTGGTGGGACACAGTTCAGAGAGGCAACTTTTCTGAGGTCGGATCACACGGGGAAGAGGTGGCAGCGTTCGTCCTGGAGCGGGTTTGTCAGGGCCCAGAGCTCAGACCCTCAGCTCCACACCTCTGTGCTCTCTACACAGTCTGACCTTTGCCTGCCACTTCCTCCAACCAAAGAGAGACTGTAAGGACCATCTGGAGGTCCCACGCCACGAACACCCCAAGGACAGCGGAGTACAAAGTGATACCGTTTTGTAGCTAGGACATTGACAATGAGGCATTAGTGGGCCTTGTCCTGCAGAGAGTCACAAAACAGAGCCTGGGCCGTCACTACCGGGATCTTCTGCTGTGAGGCTCCCAGAGCCTGGGAGGAGTGCAGGGGTCGGCAGTAAGCACTGTCCAGGAGAGGCCCGAGGAACAAGGCAGATCTGAATTCCAGCCCCCCTGCTGCATCCTTCCTCCGCCTTAGGCAGATAGTCACTCGGAGAATCCATCAAAGGATGGTAACTGCTCACTTACACAGCCAGAGGTGAACGTGTGGATCTTTTCTCTGCACTTAACCCTTCCCAGTCTTTCCCAGGCCCAGAGATCTTACAAGATCTGGTTTGGATTGCTCCTTCAAAGTCATTTTCCTGGTACAGATACACTGGCTTCCTTGCTTCTCTCAAACAAGCTAAGCCTGAATTGTCCTTCTGTACATATTCCCAGACATCATACCTCCTTCCACAGCGGTGGCTTCTCACCTGCTTCCAGCAGTTCCCCATCTTTCCCCCAGCCACTCACTGACTCCTTGCACTGCTTTAGTACACACATACACACGCACGCACGCACGCGTGCACACACACACACACACACACACGCACACACACACATGCTCGCACACACGCACGCACGCACGCACGCACGCACGCACGCACGCACGCACACACACTGTGTCAAGCCATCATGTAAGATCTCAGGAAATGATGATGGGGAATACAGGGATGCTTGTCTGCCTAGTTTGTTTCTTCCCATGTAATTCCAGTTCTGTAAGGCAGTTGTCCTTTATGTCCGGCTTGTTGCTATGTGCCTAGAGGAGAAGACGGCTTGCTACATACATGTAGTCACTAAATAGATCTGAGCTGAGTGCTGCTGGATTCGGTATATGCAGAAGGAGGCCTACCCGGCGGCATATGGCAGACACATAGTGCCTAGAGACAGCAGCAGGCGGTGGTTATTATTATCTCCTCTAGTCTCTTGTTTTGAGGAGGATTTTTAGTCTCTCTTCATCCTATCTCCCCCTGCACGAGGAGGCCACACAGTGTCAGCTCAGAGGACCTAACCAGAGTTCCGCAGCCTTACTGCACTGATGCTGGTTGCACAGCCTGTTTCTGGGAACTCTTACGAGTTTGGCATCGGCCTACATTCCAGAGAATCAAGCCTGTGCCTCATAATCACCACAAAGTAAACAAATAAGCATGTAATTTTTTTTTAAAAAAAAGGCCAAGAAATAAGCTCAAAATGTTAATGATAGGATATTTCAAGTGCCTAGATCAAGTGATTTTTCTTTTTAATCTGTGTGTCTGTATGCATGTTCATGTGTGCTGGTGCATCAGAAGGTTGGAGGATAACCTTGGGTGCCGAGCCCTAAGCATCATTCATCTTTTTTTTTTCTTTGAGCTAGGGTCTCTCACTGGCCCGGAGCTTGCTAATTAGGCTAGACTGGCTGGCCAGTAAGCTCTAGGGATTCATCTGTCTCTATTTTCCCAGCAGTGGGATTATATCGTGTACTATCACACCCTGAATTTTTATGTGGGTTCTGGGGATCACACCATGTCTTCGCACTTGGAACGTAAGCGCCTGTCTAGCTGAACCCTCTCCAGCCCTATTTTAACATTTACAATTTAAAAAGAAACATGTTTGGAAAGGGAGAGAGCTGACAAGTGTCACTTAAAAGCACAGAGACGGAAGAGAAGGAGACAGGCAATGGAACGGAATGAAGGATTTCTCAAGCTACACAGCGATGGATCTTCTGAAAGTGCTTCTGTTAGCATGCCAGCTCACTCGGGCATTCGTCATTTACGTCACTTAGGATTGGGGGGTGGGGGACACACGCACTGGCTGAAAGTGATGCTGATTCGGACTGCTGTTGCTGTGGTGAAACAGCCTGACGTTATACTTTTCAAACTCTGTTTAGTTCTGGATCAAATTATTTGGCTTGTGGGACTGATGAGGAGACTGAGGTCCAGGGAACCTTACGCTATACTTTTCAAATTCTGTTTAGTTCTGGGTCAAATTATTTGGCTTGTGGGACTGATGAGGAGACACAGGTCCAGGGAAACCTGTATCCTGATCCTAAACCCACACAAGTCAGTGAGTGGCAGAGCAGAAATTGAGTCATGGGTGTCCTGACTCCCAGATCATGAATTCCCTAAATTTTATACAACACCCCCCCCCCCAACACTTTAGATGTCCCGTTCCTCTGAGAAATAAAAGGTTCCTAGCGCTTTTCTTAGAATCACAAGCTGTTGTGCCCACCTGGGGTTGCAGCCCTGCTGGCAGCTCCCTCCTCACCCCTGGGGCAGCTCCCTGCTCACCCCTGCTGGCAGCTCCCTCCTCACCCCTGGGGCAGCTCCCTGCTCACCCCTGCTGGCAGCTCCCTCCTCACCCCTGGGACAGCTCCCTGTTCACCCCTGGGGCAGCTCCCTCCTCACCCCTGCTGGCAGCTCAAGTATGGATGATTGACTTATGACAAGGTATAATCTTCTCGAGGGTGGGTGGTGTTTCTACTTCCGTTTGCAGTTACGGAACCTGAGGCTTGGCAAGACTTCTGAGGTTCCTAAGGAAAGGAAGCAACAGGAATGGGACTAAAAGCAGGTGTCTTTGACTTCTGCTGTGCCAGAGAGGGAGCCTGGCAGGCAAGTGCTGCGCTGCTCCAGGAGACCCTCTCTGAATGGGGAGGGATTTGGTCCCCTTTACACACAGAAGAGTCCTTCAGCAGCCTGAAGCTGAGGCTTCCAGACCTACCAGTGTGATCCAGGGCGGGAAGAATTAGCCTCAAAAGGGGAGAACAAATGGTCTTGGGAAGGGAAGTCCCCTGACCTTCAAGAGAAGTAGGTCTTCAGGATGGCCTCACCCAACAGTCAGAGTGCTTACATGAGCCACTGTGCTGGACTGTTTCTGTCCACAAAGCCCTGGGACGGCCATCGTCCCATCTGATTGTCATCTCCATTGAGAGGTGTAGGGCAGTAGGGGCCATACCCTACATGCTGCAGCTGACACCCCATGGCGTGCAGGTGTCAGTGACTCAGCCAAGTGACTCCTGAGGAGCCAGCTAAGCCCCTGGTCTTCAGACACATGAACGAAGGGAAGAAACAAACAAAACCCCAGCTCTTCCGGGCTGCAGCTAACCTCTGAAAGGCCCATCTCACCACAGTAGGGTTGGCCTAGAGATCACAGGGTAGCCCTCGTCCCTGAGGTCACAGAGGTGGTTTCTCAAATTCAGTATGACCACAAAAGGGCTCCAGGCTTCTGACCCAGTCCTGGGATGAGCTGAGGCAGAGCAGAGGTTTGGCAGCCTTCTGTTTAGGCTTCCCCTTCATCCAAAGGGAGCTTGACGGGTTATTAATCAGCCAGTTCCTGTGAAATCAATTAAATGCTGATGCCACCGCGTGTCAAAGGAGTGGATCAGAGGTTGGGGGACCTTCAACACGTGGCTCCACATAGAAGAACCACAGACGCTCCTGAAGGGCATACTCCAGGTCTAGGCAGCCCAAGTATGTCCAGGCTCCTCCCTGGAGGACTTAGTTAACCGTGGGGATTGGAAGAGGTACAGGGGATAAGAAGGGAACGAGCCCCCCGGAAGCTCCCACTGTCCATCCTTCTGGTTGCCTTACTTTTCTGCCAGGATGAAATATAATCCCTCTTGGTCACCCTTCCAGCAGCTATGGTATCTGCACACGAGCTTAGCTTCTCAGCATGGACTCTGCTTAACAACGAGGTAAGGGTGTGTGTGTGTGGGGGGGTACAGGGGGGGAATCTCCTGGGTATTGGCAAAAGCTGTTGGAGACACCCTGTCAAGAGGGACTGGCTCTATTGGGCCTCTTCATCTTCCTCTTTCAGGACTTCCTTCCTCAGGACTTCTGACTCTTCATCTCAGTCACATGGCTCTGGGGCCATTGGGAGGCTGTCCCTTTCCCCACTCATGTCTCAGTTAAACATATTTAGTCACCCATGTGCTCCATCGTCACTCTTTTCGTTTGTTTTGTTTTGTTTTGAGACAGGGTTTCTCTGTGTTGTTTTGGTGCCTGTCCTGGATCTTGCTCTGTAGACCAGGCTGGCCTCGAACTCACAGAGATCTGCCTGGCTCTGCCTCCAAGTGCTGGGATTAAAGGCGTGCACCACCGCCCCACTCCACTCTTTTTAGCTGCATGTTCATATTTTAAGGCCCTACCATGCTGTGGCAAACACTGTGCCATGTGCTGGGGACCCCGCAGTAATTAAAGCACAGTGCATCCCCCAGCTTCCTCTGCCATGACAGTCTGTTGCAAGGGGCTGTTTTCTTTGCTGTGTTTACAGATAACAAGTACTACTGTGAATTAGTGGAGCCCCTAAAACAGCATATTTCAATTCAACTAGGCCCTCTGAATGTGGGCGATAGTTATGTGACTAGATCTGTTTGGGGAGCCCCTGGCAGCGGGACCAGGATTTATCCCGGGTGCATGAAATGGCGTTTTGGAACACATTCCCTAGGGTGGGACACCTTGCTCGTCCTTGACACAAGGGGGAGGGGCTTAGTCCTTCCTCAACTTAGTGGATAGTGGGTGGAATTGGGAGAGATGGAAGGGGGCAGGAGGGGGGGGGGAAGAACTGGGATTGATATGTAAAGTGAAAAAAATTTAAAAATAAATAAAATTTTTTAAAAAGAAAAGCCTGTTGGTGGAGGATGCTGGGTTAAAGATGGCTGCCAAAGCTTTGACACTTCTCCCACTGAGAAGTGGAGCTTGAACTTGACTGGCCCATGACAAGCTCAACCAAGAAAACAAAGCAGAATCAATACTATGCCATTTCTAGGCCCAACTTATAGGAGGATCAATGGCTTTTGTCTCAACATCTTGGAACCCTGATTCACACAACTGTCCTGTTCAGAGGATCATAAGCAGAAGTCCCAAGGCACCTTAGGGCTGAAGGAGTCCCCACAGATAAGTGAAATGCATGTGATGGGTGCTAAAGATCAGTTGACTCGATTAACACAATGTGGAGCAGAAGAGTCTTGTATCCCAAACCCTTTCTACCTCCTGACTTCCCCTGTGAAGAACCAGTTGCGTGTTTCCTAAGCCACTAAGTTGGGAGGAATTTGTCATGTAGTAATAAGCAACTGGAACCAGAAATCACTATTGTTTTCAGGAGTGAAAATTCGCAAGGTCTAGGTCCACTAGTGAGCAATAGGGTGGGAATTTGAGTGTGTGTGTGGGGGGGCGGGGTGTATCTGACCCTGAGGACTGTGCTTTGAAACACTCTAGATGGTGAGTGGCCTGCCATATCCTCAGGACACCAGGCCACACTTCTGCAAAGCAGTGAAGGGACAGACCCTTCCCACTCCTCTTCACTCCTGTGTTGGGTAGGGACTCATGGATATTTTCTCAATGACTTATTTCTTCAGAGCGTTGACATATGGAAGCAGAGCTTTATGAAAATATGGGAACAGCTCTTACAGTGTGGTTTCTAGATGCTGGGCACTGTATGTGTGTTCCTTACATGTGCTTCTTTCCAAACTCATTGAAAAGCATAATTTTATATCCTAATCTGTCAATGAAGAAATCAAGGCTTGGGGATGTTGAATAATTCACTCAGCCGGCAGTTATGTTTAACGTACAGATCTCATGTGGCTGAAGATAGCTATGAACGTGGCCAAACACAAAATCATTAACTTACCTAAAGCATTGTGTGTGTGTGTGTGTGTGTTGGTTGGTTGTTCTGTCTGTTTTTTTTTTTTGTTAACTTGATTGTATGGTTCTCAAGTGTGAACTTATTTGATATGTCACACAAAAGGTTCAGCATGCTTGAAAGCCAACGTAAGAGGATGCCCATCTACTTAAAAAAGTCCACAACCTTTTCCTGATGCTCAGTGACTGATTCCACCCACTGAACTCTGCAACTCTCTCTCTCTTCCACTTCATCTTGTTAGTCTGGTGCCACCAGCCTGGTAAGGTCAACATTAACATGCAGAATTCTGATTGTGTCATCTAGCAGAGTTGGTACCACTCTTTGTTTGGTGGGCTATCCTCAGATGCACAGAACTCTGGAGACACAGAGGAGGCCTTCTTCAGCTACTCAGCTGGGCTTCAGGACTAAGTAGGATTCAGCTAGACTAAGAAGTGAAGAACAAGGTAACCAGTGGCAGCATGCAGAGGCCTGTGCAGAAGCCCGGAAGAGCATAGACTTGGAGAGGGCTACATGCGTACACTGAATATTAAATATATGTATGTAATCTAACTATATATAATAATGGTATGCAGCATGTATACTGATGAATTATGAAAGGGTGTGCATGCCTATATGCACCTTTTGGTAGATTGAAGTGGTATTTTTCTTCTTGCTTATTCTATTTACTAACTGCTCTATGATGGACATTATCTGAATGATAATGAAAGATGAAAGCCCAGTTTCATTCATTCTAAGAAATGGAGACAGGAGGACAGAGGATCAACAAGGCAGGCAAGTTCTAGCTGATGGGGCAGGGGAGGTGAGTTGGGACAACCTTTACATCACATATTGACCATCTGGAAAGCCTCTCTTGGTGCCCTTCTCCTGCCTCTCTTTCCCATGAGAAACTTACAGACTCACAGGAGGAAGTCCTACTTTGCTTCTAAAACGAACTTCCAAGTAGCGAGAATGGCATCCATGATCCATGCAGATGGCCAGAGCCACTGATTAGGTGCTGGTTTCCATCAGCCATGTCCCACTCAATAAGCACTGAAAATAATGGAGACTTGATTGGCTACCTTGGGTGGGATAACAACAATGAATCCATTCTGTAACTGATGAGGGCAAGAGAGGCATTTTAGAAGATGTGAAGAGAAATGGTAATAATTAAGACACTGGAGGGGCCCTGGTAGGCTCTTATCTCTGAGAAACTTGGGTTTGGAAAAATGACTCCACAAGTATAGAATGTAACCAAAGGATTGTAATTTTTCTCTTGCAGACCCCACATACTCAATGTGCCAATACCATCACCATGATCATCCTGTGCCAGGCAGAGGCAGGTGGGTGGACCTTTTGTGTGTGGGCTAATTTCCCTTCCTCAAATGTGGTTTGTCTCTGTATTCCTCACAAAGAACAGGAGTTTGGGAAAAGAAAACCTATGTGTGCCATTTCTTTAAGAGAGAGGGTAGAAGATTTGTTGGACCAGCCTGGAATACTTCACCTATGATTTAGAAAGCAGGGAGAGAGGCATGCCAAAAGTGCTCTGTTCAGGTGGTAGAATTACAGATGATCTAATTCTCCTTTTATCTTCCTATAATTTCTTAAGTGAGCTGCATGGGTTTCATAATTACACACACACACACACACACACACACACACACACACACAATTTGGAATACAGTGGCTAAGCACAGGGGAAGGGGATGGCTGCAGAACTCAGCCTGCCTCAGTCCCTGGGCTGAAGGAAACATTGCATGGCAAATCCCAGAAGAAGGGAATGAACCACAGGGCAACATAACTGGACAGAGAGTCTAGCACCCTGGGTTTGAGTCCTAGCCATGTATCAACCTCCTATGTGATCTGAGCTGGTCACAAACTCGCTAAGTCTCAACTTCCAGAACTCCTGAATGAGGCCATCATGGGAAAACTCATCTCATCAAAGTGTGTAGAATACATGGAATCACCATACGAAAGTCTATGCTACCGATGCCGATGGGAAAACCTTAAGGGCTTTCTGGGTACAGAAGGGTCAATAGACCAGGAAACAAGAACGGAAGGGGAGACTGGCCTTCAAAGAGCACCTTTCACAGTCCAGATAGGCCTGATGCTCGGCATAGAGCAGTGAAATCACACACAGCTGGCTGAGTTGAGGACCCATCCCAAGTGGATCCGAATGCCCGCCTTATCCTAAACCTGTGCCTGCCTCCTTTGTGCGTTTCTTGCCTATTTTTATGAAAAGTCTTGCCCAACCAGCCTCATTGCCATTGTGTAGACAGGGCAGTGATGTTCATGAGTTTATCAACTTGACTGATATCATATCTTTAATAAGCAGCAGGCTAGCACTGGACCTCAGCTCCAGTGGATTCTAAAATCCCAGCTTCCCACAGCTCTCTCCTACCATTGGAGAGTCCCAGCCCAAGGCAAGGCATTTCATCCCAGCTTCTCTAAAGTGATAGGCGGCAGAGACACATTCCCTGCTGACCTGGCCAACAATAGACTTTACACCTTGGTTGGTCCACCCTCTGCCCACCCAACCCTCCCTTTACCCTCCCAGCCTTGGTCCACTGGGACCCACCTGGTCTCCAGTGGGATGTTACTGTTGAGTAGCCAGTTGTCCTGGGCATGGGTTGGCTCCTGGGCGTTGCCTGCTGGGGGCTCCCCGGAGAGTGAGTGGTCTGTGGGTGCCGGGCTGGGGTTGCTCCTGGGGGTGAAGTTGCCCCTGTTCAAGGAGTTGATGGAGGCCGCGTGGTGCTGGTTGGGGGTATGGGCGTGGGGGAGTGGTGGCGGTGGTGTCCGGAGCCGAGGGTGGTTCTGCAGGCCGCTGGGATGATCTAGGGAGCAAGCAGTCATGGTCAATGTGCTGCTGGCTGGGTGCAGCCCCTGGGGGGAGGAACAGCCATAGAGGCCTGAACAAGACTGCAGGGGCCAGAATGAGTGCATCTGGCACTAGCAAATTACACATTAATTCATTCAGTCCAGTTCGGAGTCCACAGATAGTTCTGAGTTCCTTCTGTTCTATGTGTGTGTTGGGGCAATGAACAAAATAGAAATGCCCACCCCATAGGTTGAACTTAAACTTTAGGAGAGTAATAAGAAACAAGATTTTGAGAGCAAGAGCGAGGGATAGAGAGCAGGCGTGAGCATGAGAGACTCTAGTTGTCCATGTCAACAATTTGATTCCCGTCAACAACTCCACATTTTATCTGTCAGACTTTTGTGGGTTTCGTCTTTACAGTATACTCTCACATTGGTAGCTTCCTCACCTGGGAATGAGTGTGTTTGAGATAGAAGTTCTGGTGCCCCAATCCAGACTTAGAGATTCAAGAACCCGGGGGAAGGGGCCCAGGAATCAGACCTTACAGAGCCTCCCAGTGACTGACCCGTGCTTCACTTTGAGAATCACTGCCCCAAGGAATGGTGAACAGTAAATGAAATTAACAAGGTAAATAAGCACAATGTACAGTTAGTTACGAGTCCGACTGATCTAAGAACACAGGGCCAGGGCAGAGGCTACATCTGTATGAAGCACATGTACCTAGGAAGGTATAGACTGGATGTCCTCTGGGAGATGGTGGCTTTTGAGAGTGGTGGACATGCTGTGTCGGGGTGGTTCAAAACTACTGGAATACTTACTGAGCACACACTGTGTGCCAAATGCTGTTCTGAGCCCCCACACAGATGAGAAGACTGAGATAAACATTTTCTTCAGTCCCCTCAGTGACCTAGAGCAACAGGTATTATTATTGTCACTAATATGCAAGTAAAATCCAGGTTTTGGAGTGGATGCTTCCAGTTCCTATGGGAATGTGGTAAAGTGGACGCTATTTGTGTCCTGATGATAGGTCTGTGGTTGACTCCCTTTCACCTAAGCTACTCCAGAAGCCTCCTCTCACAAAGCAAATAGTGTAACGGGGGAGAAGTTAGAAAATTAGACTCCTGTCTAGATTCCGCCACTTACTAAACATAGAACCCCGGATGAATCACTCAACCTCTTTGAGCCTCGGTTTTCTCATCTGTGAAATGGGAAGTGCCTTTATTACTGAGATGAAAGTGCTACAATGAGAACAAATTAGGTAGCTGACAGGAAAGAGATACGTTAATGGAGGCTGTATCACTCTGCTTTTTAAGCTACTTCTTACGGCAAAGAGGTACAAAGTGAATCTGGTGGGACACTGGGGGAGGAGGTTAGAAGTAGAATGGAGAAGGAAATGATAATTCATCCCAAGGCGACACATTCCAAGCTGCTACCTTCAGTGTAAAATGTGTGCTGGGCCTGCAGACCCTCTGGACTCTGATGAATTCCTGCCTTCCAGCCTCCTCTTGCATCAGCTTCCCTATAACGATCGACTCCAGCCATGTGACCCTCAAAGGTCAGGAGCGGCTGAAACTTCATTGCTGGTGAGGAGGGTCCCCAGAGTCCATCCAGTGTGGCTGAAACCCACTCTTTCTAAAGATGCTGAAGTCCTGGATTAGCAGAGAGCTGGCACAGTTGTCCCTTGAGGGGACAGGTGAGAACCTAGAAGTCAATATGACCTGTGGAGGTAGAGTAGTCTCTCTTCTCTGAGTGAGCAAATCGCCTTGTTCAAGAAAGTAAGCAAGGGTAGGGCCGTTGGCTGTGTCCAGCTCTTCTCAAGTAGCTTGGTTTATCTGTATGAGACAGGGTCTCCTATGTAGCTTTGGCTGTCCTCGAACTATGTCAGCAGTTTTCAAAATGTGGGTCATGACCCCTTTGGGGGTTGAATGACCCTTTCACAGGGGTCATATACTCGATATCATGCGTATCGGATATTTACATTGTGACTCATAACAGTAGCAAA